ACTTTCATACATTGTTGGTAGAACTGCAGAGCCTGTGCAATCTCGACAGGAAGACAACTGGCAGTACCTAAGAAAACTATGCATACATTCATCTTCTCATCCAGTTTTAGGTATATCCGCAGTAATACAAAAAAACATGAACAGTAAAGTACTGCAGCACAATCTTAAATAACACAATAGTGGGGGCTGGTCCAATAGCACAATGAGTAGGTGTACATAGGGAGTCAGATCCCAAATGGCTGACTATGGTTCGAATTCCCACTCTGGTGGCTTGAAAAAACATACTGGAGACATGCACATGGGTACCCAAGATCCTCACAAAGTGGAAAAGTGGAAGGAAAAAGATGAAGCTTTACTGTACCATTAGGGAATGGGAAGGTGCTTTCTCTCTTTGGTGAGTACAAACACCCTCTGGCAATCAATCCATCCATCCATCAATCAGGGCCAGTCTGTGGCCTGGTGGGTAAGGAAGCTGGATCCCACATGGGTGACTGTGTGGTTTGAGTCCTGGACCTGGTAGCTTGGAAAACATGCCTGGCGCATGTATATGCTTGCCCAAAATCCTGAAAGAAGAGAGAATAAAGAGAAGAGAACTGTGGTATGATTCTGCCCCACAGGAGTTGCTTTCTTACTCTCTCTCTCTGTCTCTTGTATGGGCCCTCTAGCAAAACTAAAACAAAGAAAAGCAAAAATATATCAACAAAGATGGGGGAATGTCTATAATAAATAATTAAATGTAAATAGAACAAAATAAACCTTACTATGTATAACAACAAAGAAATAAACACACATATAACTTCTTAGCTCGGTCTACTCAAAGAGCCCAAAGGCAAAAACATGACCCAATAGCAAGAAGCAGACCCAACTCCCGATCTCAGGTTTGGAAGTATCACTCCTCCAGCAAAGTCGGCCAGAGGTCCTCAGACAAATGGCTGGTTCTAATCTGTGGCAGGATATCGCAAACAGACTAAGAAAAGTGTCAAAAATGAATTTGGACATGGAGAAAAGGCACAGAAGCCAGTTTGAAAAGATTCTTCCTGACCAAATTTGAACAA